GGGGATTTGATTGAAACGTTTAATATTATTAAGGGTATTGATAATATAGATCCATCAAACTTTTTTGTGTTAAGCAGTGAAAACAATGGGACAAGGGGTAATAAATTCAAATTTTGGCAGTATAGGAGTTGTCTGCAGTTTAGACAGTATTACTTTTCAAACAGGGTGGTTGGCTTTTGGAATGAGCTGCCTTCAAGGGTGGTGGATGCAGAAAATTTAACTAAGTTCAAGAAAAGATTGAATGAATATATGAGTATCAAAATGTGGTTATAGATGGGAAGTGGAAAGGATATCCATAATGGGCTAATAAACTCCTTTTTGTCCCTTCAAAATTTTGTGAATTTATGAAATGATGAATTAGAAATGGGAGCTTTAATATTAAGAAGTAATTGATATAAATAATAAGAGCTCAGATATTAACTTGTCTTTTCACAGAGTTACTTTTCTGTCAGAAGTATAAGCTTGCAAAACATTTTGTCTGAATATTTGGTGTGTGAAATTAGTTGACATTTATTTAAAATGTTGTTGGATAGGTTTATGAATGCAAAGAGCTGTACTTATTTTGTTGTATGTTGATCAACATTGATTCTAAGGCTACAACTGTTCGATCCAATTTGTTAATGAAAGATGGAAAATTGCCTCTTGAGATTGTAAAAAAACAACAACAAGGGATTGAGGTGAACATAAAGTTCCAGCAAATGGAAAGTTGGAAGTAGGGGGTTTCAGTGATCTTTAAATAATGAAAATAATAAAACAATTCACACACCATTCAATTCCAATCATAAATTAGTAGATTTACACTGCAAATTCAATAATGTATCTAATAATTAAAGAAAAACAATTAAAAATCATACCTGTAAATCAACTTTCACTCCACACTATCTTCTCATAAGATCAATGTTAACCAAATGTCAGTGATTGATATCAAATTATTGCTTTATCTATTAAGTCATCAAGAAATTAATGTCACTTTTTTTTAGATGAAAAAACTCGAACAACTTATATATAAAAACAAATCATTTATTTAATGAAATAGTCTCCATTCTTATCGATGATGCTTTTCCATCTTA